TTGAGAGGGGTCTTGGCTAAATCTATACAAAGGAATGTGAACATCAGCGGCTTCGTTAATTATGCTAAGGAACAAATCGTAACTTGTTTGCGGGTCATCAACAAGCAGGTTATAATTTGAGAGATTATCTTTAATATACTTACGATAACCATCCCAGTTAGCATTTTTAAAGTTTCTCCTCTGAATAAATGGCGAGTTATTGTTACTATAAGAAATATAAATCTTAATAATTAAGTGGTCACTACCTAATGTCTCATTAGTTACCTTCCAGTTCAAGTGCAAGGCTATGTCCGAAGATGCAATAGAAATATCAGGAGAAGATTCCTGCAATTTCCCGTTGACAAATTTAACACGCGTAGCTCGACTATCATTCAATGAAACAAAATTATTTTCTAACAAAGAATCAAAAATATTGCTACCTCTCAAATCAGTCTTACAAGACCACCTGGAATGGTGGCCGTTAAAGTCACCAAGTACAAGTGTTTTACTCGTCTTAAACGAAAATATTTCATCCCAGTCACTTTGAGAAGTTCGTATAGCTGGTGGGCAGTAGATAGAAAATATGTAATCAATATATTTACAGTTGAAAACTTTTACACAAATTATTTCAATACTAGGATTTGAAAAATGAACAGGGATTATTTGCGCCTTAACGGATTTGTGGGCTATAATAGCGACACCTCCATACGAGTCTTTTCGATCGTGACGGAAAACATTATAACCACTTATTCTAAAAGTAACCTCACTATTTAACCATGTTTCGCATATAGCAGCTATATGAATTTTTTCACTATTTAATAACTGCTCAAATTCTACATATTTAGGCTTAACACTTTGTGAATTCCACTGGAGAAGGTTTATTTGGGAGCTTATACCCATAACTTACCGAGTATATTTTTAAAAGGAAGGTCCCAGATGTATTCCCCCACTATCGATACCAACCATTCAATGCATAGTGACACTCCTTGAATTATTCTACTCTTTAAATCTTCTTGTGAGTTAGAAATTAATGCATATACGAGGGTGGATTGAAAAGTACTCGGCCTAACCAAGAAAATAAACACATACTAAATCAGTTATATTTTTATTTTTCTACATAATCACCATCAAGTTCAATACACTTTTGCCACCTTCCCTTCCAAGCATTTAGACCGTTGAAAAAAAATGATTCTTCCTTAGAGTCAAAATATGCGTCTATAGCTGCTTTGACCTCGTCGTTTGTCGAAAATCTTTGACCTCCCAAGTGCTTTTTTAGGTTAGGGAACAGAAAGAAGTCTGATGGTGCCCGATCAGGTGAATACGGCGGATGCGGTAACAGTTCAAAGCCACAGTTGTGAATTTCAGCCATTGACTGTACTGACGTGTGAACACGGGCGTTATCTTGATGAAACAGGACTTTTCTTCTGAGCATTCCTCGACGTTTTTCTTTTATTTCCTCTCGTAAACGACGTAGTAAGGTGCAGTAGTAATCAGAGTTTATAGTCTGACCCCTTTCAAGATAATCAATCATAATCACACCTTTCGAGTCCCAGAATACTGAAGCCATCACCTTATTTGCCGACAAAATCGACTTAGCCTTTTTTAGGGGTGGTGAACCAGGTCTTCTCCACTGTTTTGATTGTTGTTTTGTTTCCGGTGTACAGTAATGAACCCATGTTTCGTCCATAGTAACAAAACGATTCAAAAAATCATCTGCATCGGCTTCAAATAACTCCAAACAGTCGCGTGAAATAGTCAATCGCGTCCTTTTTTGTTCAACTGAAAGCAGTCGCGGAACCCACCTCTCAGACACCTTGTGGAAACCCAACTCGTTGACAATGATGTTTTGAGTTCGTTCATAACCTCTCAGCAGTCCGGGCCAAAATAGCCGCTTAGGCGCATCTGTCAAACACTAAACGAGTGATATATTGCCTACGTGGCGCGTGTCATTAAAATGGAAATATCTTAATATTTATGTATGAAAACTATATAATATGATATGTTGTTAGAATTATTGTTAAATAAGCTAATAGAATATATGTAAATGTGTACGTTCACCCTTTTGGTATGTTATAAATTCGATGGTAAAATTGCTAGAAGCGATTTTTTTTCCAGTTTGTTGAATATAAAATGTAATCATTAAAAAATTAAGCAATTATTTCAATAAATATTTACTTCATTTACTATACGAAAACACACTTTACAATAATGAATAAAAAAAACACAACTCTACATACAGTTTTTTCACACCACAAGCTCGACAATAATGTGGGCCACTTAAGATGAACCGAAACAGGCACAAAAAAAGGCACATTGTGTACTTCAATATCGACGACGCCTGAGGCACAATGGGCTTTAAATCTTAACTTATTCTATAGTTTGGTCTTTGTTCTTAATATAAACAGTTTCAAATGTTACAACTATTTAGTTATTAAGAAATGAATGAGTTGTAACAAACACTTGAAAAAGTGACCCTAAAAAAATGCTTTCAAACTTTTGCAATTGTAAGGAACAATTTTGTGATTTATTTACATGTGAATGTATATTCCTAAATTTAATAACATTTCCTAAGTTAAAAACAAAACAAAGGAGGCATCTTTCATACAAAATTATGTTAGAAATCAACAACTAAAAGTTACACATTCACTACAAAAAGTACCAAGTATGACGTAGTACGCTGCTATGCTAGTATGGATACGCTCTGTGGTGACTTCTTTAATAATTATAATCATGAATATAAAATTAAAATGAAATACAAATTAGTTATTTTTCATTGCTTTTTTATGTTTTTAATTAACATTCGAATGTTATTATAAAAACCGCGAGTCCTCGGTCGTCTTGTTTCACTTGTCAATCAAGTGCAAAAAAATATAATGACATGCACATACAAAAAGTAAAACAATTTACTGACAAAAAATAAAACAAAACAAATAAGAAAAACAAATAAAAATCCACACCAAAAATTATCGCAAAAATATACCAACACTGGCATTCCCAAAATCGTATCCATACTATACAACCTGCTCTCTAAGATGGCGGATTTCATGTCAATAACTTTAGGACCCATGTCTGTCCGCGCCCGCCAGGTGGACGCGATATTTAAGCAATTTGTTATTTTTAGTTTTATGAAAGATTTAATCGAAACTATACAATTGTAATTATTGTTATGTTTGTAAATATGTATGTTAACGATACTAAAACAATGTTTACCATTCACAATTGTACTTTTAATTTAAAACAATTGAAATTAATACGAACATGGTATCAACATGGCCGTCGAAATGGCAAGCAATGTTTGATAAAATGGAATAATTTATGTACAAATCGTCATCTAATATGTTTTAAATTAATAAAAAAGTATTCATGACTTACCCATTCATGTTTATCTTTAATATAAACTTCCGAAATCACTTTCAACAATTAATACTTTGCACGTAAACACACGACACCGCGTCACAGAACGAGCAACTGAACGGAATAAATGTATTACTATTTCAAAGCTTCTATGGTTCATATATGAAGCGTATGTGATATTAATTGCCGTCTTTGTTTCATTCTCTGCATGTTGTACTAGTTATAGGGAGATACGTATACTTTTACTAGGGCTGTTTCGAATCTGAAGTTTATAAGTAAACAGCAACCTTCTGATGGTTGTGGACAGATGCGTACTTTTTGACAGCAACCTTTAGAAGGTTTTGGACTGACGAGAGGATAAGAGATGCCTATAATCTCGGCTATCTCTCTAATTTTTAATTTGCGGTCTCCCATTATTAAATCAAGTACTTTTTTAATATTTTCGTCAGTAGTTGACGTCGAAGGCCTTCCAGAGCGAGGTTCATCTTTCACACTCTCTCTACCACGCTTAAATTCTGCTATCCATTTTTTGACGGATGAATATGACAGAGCACAATCGCCTAATGTACTGACCATGTCATCATGGATGGCTTTTGATGATAGCCCCTTCTTATGGAGGTACTTAATGACAGCACGCTGCTCGATTTGCTCCATTCGCGGAAATTATGTCCGATTACTTTGTTAATGAATTTATAACATCACGACTAATTATCGCACACGTTTCGAACTTCACACAATGAACTAGTCTGAACTGAACTAAATAATGTGGGTAGATTTGATTTTTAGAATTGAATGGATCTGTGTTAGGCCGAGTACTTTTCAATCCACCCTCGTAATTTTGCAAGCTATTGCTTCAAATTTAAACTAGATCTGCATTTCTCTTTTCTCTCATTTCTCAACCGAATTTCATTTTCCGACTCATCGACTAAATTACTATTCATTGTTTCTGATTCCGAAGATACATCCCTGTTATACACTTCATTTTGACTTTGTTTCTTTTTCTTATTCTTTTTCTTCTTGGGTCTCTGTTCTAATGATTGAGAAACATTCGTTGAGCCCGGTTGCTTAGGTTGTGATTGTCGCATGATACTATCACAACGCGGCGCTCGGGTCACGCTTGCATAGGAAATAACGTTTATGTCTTGTTACTGATTAGGTACGTGTTCAGGTACAGACTCGGGAAACACACTAAGGCTTGCCGGTGAAGTTAAATTAAATCGTTCTGAGCGCAGTGTAGGGACGGGTTCTGGTGGAACATATACTTGCAACGCCTTCCTATAAGAGCAGTTAAACTCTGCCATCAATTCACGAATTCGTTTCTCTTTTTTAAACGCAGGACACGATCTATCCAGGCATAAATGGTTTACTGTACAATTCACACATTTATATGAGGTAGTCTCACAGTTAGCGTGACCCTTGCCACACTTAGGGCACACAACCTTTTTGCTTGGACAAACACGCAAGGAGTGCCCAAATCGCCAGCACCTGGAACACTGGGTAACTGGGAACACGTATGGGTCGACATTTATCTTCATGCCGTAGATGTAGACACACGTTGGTAGTGAGGGACCCTTGAACCCCAGACGTATTGACTCACTTTCTTCCCAGCCGTTACCGTCCTTATTCCTGCGTTTTAAACGTTTTACCGCTATCAGTTCACAATTGCTTCAAATAACTTCTAACATGTCTTTTTTACTCAAGTCCAATTCTACATTCTTAATAACGCCGTAAGATATAACAACTTCGAGTGGTTTTTGGCATCTCCAACCTAAATCTTGCAAAGGTTTGCAATTGATCAACTCCTCAGCACTTCCTGCATTTTCAAACTGTATGAACACTTTATAGGGGTTTATATATTTTACCCGGCTAACACTACTAATGTTATTTGACCTTAATAATTTAGCAAGCGCGAATTGCTTCGGTAGCTTTTCGGAATTATTAATATACACATCAACCTTCTGTCCCACTCTCTTTCCATTTCTTCATACCGCTATCCACTCTTCTTCCTCATCCTCCTCCCGCGGTCTCTTATTACGACTAACTCTAGAACTAGAGTCCTCAAGCATTTCTTCCTCTTGTTGTGTAGTATTCTTCTCCACTAAACAAATCTCCGACTCCTCAACATTACTTATCCCGAGTAGAATATTATTAATCTCATTATCTTCTTGAATTATATCTTCCTCCATGTTAAATAAGGTACACTATCGTATGCATCTATTCACCATTGCACGATGTGTGTAGGTATATACACAATAGCGCGAAATATTTCTTGAGATAAGACTGCTCAGCGAGAAAAAACAACGCGACTAAAGCGGACAAGTGCCCACAGCGAACTGCATAGTCGCCTCTTACGAAACCCATGGGACAAAATATGTTCATGAATTCTTTTACGCCGTACCTACACGGCAACTTCTACTATATTCTTAAAAAATGCTGGTCAAAATATATGTATGTATAACACTTTTTCCATGTGGGGGTTCGAAACAGCGATTATTAGATTAATGTAATTATAACACGGTCAGAAGAATGTAATTATTGTCATTCGAATTTAGTTTCCTTGCCATTCCTTCCCCCCAAAAATGAATATGAGAGACATTATCTAAAGTAATTGGCTAAAATACTTTATATCTAGCAACATTATTGAGTATAATTATGTAAAATATTGTAATATCCCTATTTCCTCCTGGGTTGACGATATAGAACGCTATAAGGTATAAACTCTGCCCATTTTAAACCGTCCAAGGTGTCTCTAGCAACATTATATGAGTATAATTATGTAAAATCTTATAATTTCTCTATTTCTCCCTGGGTTCAATGATATAGAACGCCATAAGGTATAAACACCGCCCATTGTAAACCGTCTAGGATGTCTTACAATAAAGGTACAATCTCTTACAATAAATAAAGTGTTTAATTCGTGTGATTTCAGAACAACACCGCATACTAACAAATAAATCAAATTCTACCGATTGTAACATAAACGATGTTCGCACAGAAATCCCGAAAAAAGATAGTCAAACAGTTATTAAAAAGGGGAATCGTCCTGCACAGATTATGAAAAAAAAATTGAAACAAAAGAATAAAAATGTGGTTACGAAAAAATTGTCAGGGGCATCAACAAAATACAATTTTGAATGTGATCATTGTAGCAAAGAATGTTCAACAAAAGACATTCTCGTCAAACACATTTCACACAGTCATAAGACGCAAAAGAACTCAGTTCGGACACAAGTGGAACAAACTCCAGTCCTACAACTAACGGAAATGTTTAATTGTGATATTTGCGAATTTAAAACATCTCGTAAAGGTTACATTTTGGCTCATCTTAGAGCGCACGTCGCTAAACAAGCGTTCTGGTGTAATAATTGTGATTATAAATGTACGAACAAACAAAATTTATTAAAGCATATGAAAACACATACCGGAGAAAAACCTTTTTCGTGTAATATCTGTGAGTATAAATGTATTATGAGAGGTGATTTGCAAAAACATATGAAAATACATACCGGAGAAAAACCTTTTTCGTGTAATATCTGTGAATATAAATGTATTAGAAAATGTCATTTGCAAAGTCATATGAAAATACATACAGGAGAAAAACCTTTTTCATGTAATGTCTGTGAATATAAAGGTATTCGAAAATGTGTTTTGCAAAGACATATGAAAATACATACCGGAGAAAAACCTTTTTCGTGTATTATCTGTGAATATAAATGTATTGAAAAATGACTGTTGGAAAGACATATGAAAATACATACCGGAGAAAAACCTTATTCTTGTAGTATATGTGAATATAAATGTATGGACAAATGTCATTTGCAAACACATATGAAAATACATACCGGAGAAAAACCTTTTTCTTGTAATATCTGTGAATATAAATGTATTCAAAAAAGTAGCTTGAAAAAACATATGAATATACATACCGGTGAAAAACCTTTTTCTTGTAATATCTGTGAATATAAATGTATTGGAAAAGGACAGTTGGTAAGACATATGAAAATACATACCGGAGAAAAACCTTTTTCGTGTAATATCTGTGAATATAAATGTGTTGAAAAAAAACAGTTGGAAAGACATATGAAAATACATACCGGAGAAAAACCTTTTTCTTGTAATATCTGTGAATATAAATGTATTGAAAAAAGACAGTTGGAAAGCCATATTATGAAAATTCATACCGGAGAAAAACCTTATTCGTGTAATATCTGTGAATATAAATGTATTCAAAAATGTAGCTTGAAAACACATATGAAAATACATTCCGGAGAAAAACTTTTTTCGTGTAATATATGTGAATACAAATGTATTCAAAAATTTCGTTTGCAAACACATATGAAAATACATACCGGAGAAAAACCATTTTCTTGTAATATATGTGAATATAAATGTATTGAAAAAAATAAATTGAAAAGACACATGAAAATACATACTGGAGAAAACCCTTATTCTTGTAGTATATGTGAGTATAAATGTATTGATAAATGTCATTTGCAAATACATATGAAAGTACATACCGGAGAAAAACCATTTTCTTGTAATATGTGAATATAAATGTATTGAAAAAACTAAATTGAAAAGACACATGAAAGTACATACTGGAGAAAACCTTATTCTTGTAGTAAGTATATGTGAATATAAATGTATTGAAAAAATGAATTTGGAAAGACATATGAAAATACATACCGGAGAAAAACCTTTTTCGTGTAATATCTGTGAATATAAATGTATTCGAAACTGCGATTTGCAAAGACATGTGAAATTACATACTGGAGAAAATCCTTTTTCGTGTGATATCTGTGAATATAGAAGTATCACAAAAAGTTATTTGCAAGTTTAAAAGCATATGAAAATACACATAGGAGAAAAATTTTCTTCATAAGAGATCTGGTAAAATATGTACATATTATGCAAACGTGTTTTTTATAAATATAGGTGTACCATTTAAAATATATATTTTTAATAAATTTCTTATGAAATTATAAAACGAGTACAAGACCTTTGCTTGCCTTTATGTGCTAATTTAAGCTTTATTTATTGGGTTATTCCGTTTATCCACCCTGAGAAATCCACCCTAGTGTGAATACACGAAAACGCGTGTTCGTTTATCCATCCTAGACGGAATCGAAATTCACTTTTTGATTATTGTTCTACCTTTTCAGCTCAAATACAGTTCAACAAAAAATAAATACATACTTTAAGATATTGTTGATTAATTTTTAATATTCACAAACTTAAACAAAAAAAAACATATTACGTATTGAATTTAAACCAAATTAAACTTCAAGGAAGTAAATTTTTTAAATGAAAAGTTTTTAGCAAAAACTTAAAAAAAAATTACTAATTTATCTAGTCGTATCGAGTTTGTAGTTCTGTGAGGCACTACGAATGAATTACAAACAACCACATAATTTTCGTTCGTGAGCCATGTCTTTTCATAGTAGTTCACAGACGCCGTCATATTATCATCGTATATCATGATGTAATAAAAAATTCTAGAATGATCTGAGAGTTTTCAAATATGTATTTCACTGTTTAATAAATATTTCTATTTCTTCGAAATCAGAAATTAAATTGAAACTGAATTCAAACAAAGATTATAGTAATTTGAATTCTCTGGTGAGATAATATTTATTGCGTGCTCGTCGTTTCTTTCGTTGTTTTACTTGCATACTTGTGCTTACGCGCCAACTCAGTACCCACCATAACATATATACGGGAATTGATAAGAATCTCTAACGTAAAAAGCCCTGACAACAGCACCGCCTGGAAGCTAGTGAATTAGCTACTACTACAAATAAAAAAACATAAACACTCACGTCGGTCACCCAGAGGGGTAGGCAGAGACTACGGACTTCCATTTGGCACGAACCTGACATACCTCTTTCGCCTCTTTTACATCCATATATCTACGCATACATGCTCGTCGGTTAAGGGTACTTCTAACGTGGCCCATTTTCAAAATATCGCCAATTTAATCGATAAACTTTTTTCTAGGACGTCCCGTCCCGACTCTACCATTCACATCTGCCATATAAATTTGCTTTGTCACTCTTTCCTCATTCATTCTTTCTACATGACCAAACCACCGAAGCATTCCTTTCTTAATCCTGGTCACAACATCATCTTGCATACCACATTTATCTCTTATCACGCAATTTCTCACCCTGTCATTCAGATTCAACCCTACTATATACTATATTCAACATACTACACATATACATAACTATAGATATTATATATATATATATATATATATATATATATATATATATATATGTATGTATGTATATATGTCGCTGCAAGGACATCTTCTGTTGTCGAAGCCTAAACTTTGCATTGCCTTTTAATTGTTATTAATTATAATAATCAACAGTGTATAATTATTAACCTAAAAATTTTATAACAGCAATTTATCTGAAACATAACATGTAACTAGCTAGTTCTTTAAAACTGTTTTGGTTTACAAATATCTTTGTTGACAACTAATTCCTGTTAAAAAAACTATCTATTCGATTATCAACTTTTAACTCAATTATTGTTTTAAATCTTAGAATAAATAATGGAGAAGATAACAAGGTTAAACTTAAACTTTTACTAATATTAAACTTTTAAGTACGTAGGTAAAATGTCTAGACCAAACACATAATTCTAAATTTTATTTCACATCGATCGGTGCACTATTACAGAAGTTATAAGTCACCTACCTACTTACTATCTGCCTCTAACTAGTTTTGTTTTCTTATTCTTCTTAAGTGCACCCTGACCTTTTTGTGGTTTTTATGGTTAAAAAAAATCCTGTTGTATATAAAGAAATTTACTACAAATATAGGTACCTTCGGTGTATAAAAATATGATTTTATCTAAAAATCAGATGTTTTCAATATTAATAGAAAAAGGGTCGCATTATTATTATGATTAAAAACGTAGTTATATATTCTTCAGGCAAGGAATCGATGTCAATATTATCATCTAGAGTAGTAACAGGATCGACAACATATCTATGCTCAATTTCTTGTGAAGTAGTGGCAATCACATGTGCAACTGTTTCTGACCTAGATTTGGCATTTAGTTTTGATAGTAAAGATCTTTGTGGTTTTTCTGTATACCGATTTTGACAAGCAAACAAAACATCTTTTTTTAAGTTTGAGGGGACCACCAACTAGTTTGTACTTCACGTAGTTTCCCATATCGTTTTCGACCTAGAATTAAATACAAACTTATTTAAAATCTATAAAAAAATAAGGAACCTCGTAATTTGTATTCCATCAATATTTAAAATATGTACTAACTATGTAATACATAAAAATAGGACAACATGAAAAAAAAATTACATGCTCCACTTCATAATCAAACTTCTTCCATCATTTGCGGCCCGCAAAGTATATAGGTTGAACACCTCTGCGATGTGTTTAGTTTTTGCTCGTAAAAATATAAAAACGTTTGTTAACATATTCCGTATTTTAACCTATATATTAATGCATTATAAACATTTTAAAATTTGCTGCAAACATAGGTAGGTATCTAAACTTACGAACTCACGACAGGTCATTGACATTATCTACATTACATAGGTAAGTACTTTACCCAAGATTAGGAATTTTTGGATGTTTATTTACACTGAAGTAGTTTTAGTTAAATATGTAGGTATTAGGTATTCTTTCTTCTTGAAATTATAATGATCATTAAGCGTAGAAAGCTTCAATGAATCGTTAGTTACTTAAACACTGCGACTCGAGTAGGTAGGTTAGGAACATGCCTAATAGAAAGCATTTACTACCAATAACCAAGAGCTATCATGTGAAGATTATTATTATTTGAATACTTACATCGAAATGATCACAAACAATATGCTACCGTGTTTGGTCCTAAAGGATGTGCTCTTCTCATAGCATTTGTCCATTTATTTCTGAGGGTAGGGTTTCTAGGCACATTAAAAAACAACTCTTCAGGTGTTTTTGTGGCCGTATTTTTACATTGAGACACAGCACAATATTTAATAGATGGTGTCATGTTCTATAACATTATAGAATCTTGTTAAAAATATATAGCAAGTAAATCTGCGCGCGACGGACACATTCGAGTAAATGTTTTGATTTTCTAAGTGCGCGTCGGGTCTCTCGCACGAAGATGGAAATTGTGACGTCATCAACGATGTCGCTCTCGGCCCGCGGCTTAGACCGAAAATGTTAACTTTGCGCCTTTATATCTCGGTCAGTTTTGAAGAAAGAAAAAATTATAAACACGGTTATTCTCGTAATTTTTTGTAGATTTTTTTGGCATATAAAACAAAAAATGGTTATCTTCTCCATTGTCGATTTGATAATAATCAATTCCTGGTAATTGAAATTACTTAAGTAACCCAATGAATTCATTAAAAAGTTATTGTTTAGTGAAGTACTGACCAATCAAATCGTCGACCAATTGAGCACACCTAAGTCGTTATTACGTTTTCCTTATTGTATGAACGCTGGAATAGATTCACTTCGGTTCCAGCGCTCGTCGGTGTAGTTCTATTTTCCTGGTAAAGCTTTGTGATTATTATTTACTGAGTTTTTATAAAAAGAAGTGTAGAATAAAGTTATGGTAGTATAAAATTAAAAGTGTGTGATCTTAGATCTCTTTCATTACAATGGAAACAATATACGGTAGCACGACTGAACTCTTGTCAAATGTGGACAGTGGTGCTGCCTCACCATAAAAACAACCTCGAGGTCTCGCTCTGACACACACACACACACATATATATATATGTGTGTGTGTGTGTGTGTGTGTTCTGTATAGGTACTACTCCTTTTATATTGTTATTTTTATTAAGTATTATGTCGATTTCTAAATAATAATAAAAAACTGTATGTTATTTAAAATTTGGCATAAATACTTTCGATAAATTGTGGGATTATTAGGCAAAAAGAAAGATTTTCAGTATTGTTAACATTTTTATTTCACAATTTTAAATTAAGATATGTTGAAATTAAAATTCTAACAAACGTGAGATGTTATAAGGGTGAATAAACTTATTATTGTAACAACCGCGCATATTTAAAATAATTACAAAAGTACTGGTGTTTTTAAAAATTATCATAAATTAGATTTAACAGGCATTTATATTCCAGGCAAGGCCACAAACTTTACCATAATTTTAAGCTGTTTTCGAACTGAGTGCAGAAATTGGGACATATAAGGTGTCCACTGGGTAACTCTTATTTCTACATGAAAACGACAAAAAATAATTATTAAACGACTTAGTTTAGCCTTCCTCCGTACAGTCCTGCCCTGAGCCCAAACGATTTCTTTACATTCCCTAGAATGAAAGATTTACTACGCGGTCGACGGTTTGAAGACCACGAAGCAGCTGTGGAAGCGCCATAACAAATCGGCCATTTTGTCATCATCAACTTCAGGCTGGAATTACTGTTTTAATGATTGGACGAATGGAAAAGTGCAATTTAGCTATACCGTGCATGTGGTTTTTCTTATTCCCGATCATTTCAGTGTGCCCCTCGTATGAAGACAGTAAACCAAAATGTCATTACTGATGATACTTTATCATATTCATTAATACGATTATTTTACACTGCAGGATGAATTTAACAAGGGTTGGCTCTGGGGATAGGTCACATTTGTACGGGCGTGTAAAATAGTCTTTTGAGTCATCAGAAAAAAAAATACAATAAATTGGTTAAAAATAAATTAAATCAGTATGAAGTCTTGTTGTCTTTTAGTCTTATTTATTGATAAGCATTTAATAATACCAATATTTGCTTTGATTTTCTCGACAAAAATATTTTATGTCTGGGGATAGTCAATTACAAACAAAAGTTGATTCACCCATAAAATTCCATGTTGTCTGCACGTATGTAGAAAGTAGCTAACTACAAACCATCATAAAAATTACAGCATTGAAATTTACATATTATTTTATAACTTTTCTATTTTATTTATAGTCCGGTCAATCTAGAAATGCGACATACAGTTGGCCATGTGAAAAACAGTCAACGCTCAAATCTAAGCCTGCAACGTTGAAGGTTTGACCCTGCGATTTGTTAATGGTCATTGCAAAAGATGTTTTTACCGAAAACTGTAAACGTTTAAATTGGAAGGGTAAATCCGATGGTATCAGAGGGATTCAATACATCTTCTCCGGTACCACATCCTGTGAGTATTGTGCACTCTATTATGAAAATTTTCAGTGATATTACCAGCAAACGCGTGCCATTGCAAAGTTTAGGTGGATTCAGGTTTCTTAATAAAATAATAGGACAAACTTTCAATACCATTTTGTGAGGAGGGTGTCCAGACGGGTTCAAAGAGTTTAGAAATTCTGTAGGAAAATGAACAGCTTCTTCCAAATTGAGAACAGTCTCTACCGAGTAGTATATTTTCGTCGGCGCATCAATCTTTGAAAGAATCAAGTTATTTACCTCACTTTTTTTAAAAGCAGATTGATTAGAAATGTTTTTTCTGTACCTCCTGGGGCATCAAGGAAAAACAATTTCCCTTCATTGTTATCAATTGTTGATAGTAATGCAGTGAATACTTTTTTCTGATCGATGTTTAATCGTGGCTCATCTTGAGCTATATTTTGTAAAAGTCTCGTTTGGTCATATGATGTTTCTCTTGTGTATTCGGCACTGTTGGTTAAATCTGAGTTAGTAGTATTAGCTGGCGTCGGCAGCCCAAAATCCTTGATCGATTTACCCGAAAGTAATTGCAGTACTTTATTCAATTCAAATAATGCTTCGTCAAATATGTTTTGATCATATTGTATATCATCTGAGTTTAACTCTCGCCGTCGCCGATTCAGAATATCACTGGCCATGTTTTTTTGAAATAAATTCCATAGATTAACAGAATCAGTTACTTGACAAAACGCTACTATGACGGCAAATAAATATCTTAATGATGTAGCTGAACTACAAACAGCTGCTTCTGATAATGTGTTTTCCCAGCGAGAATCGTCTTCCAGGAGCGCCGTAGTTTTGCATGCTGCTTCAAGAACGCTGGACTGGCTATACCATAGAAAATGACTGTGCCAATTTGAAGTGCCGCTAAAGGATGTCTTAAAAAATAAAATTGACATAATATGCCAGTCTGTTGTATATTTAAATTGTCTTATTTAATAAATCTGTATTTCGGACTTTTAAACTAAAAAACGAAAGTATTTTATGTTGTTTGATTGTGTATAATATTTACATAATAAGAATTATTTTTATTAATGAGAGTGTGCGTAATCTGTAAAACTCATTACTAAAAGAGAAGTGGTATAACATTTCACAAGTAAGTGAATTTGCAGCAAATATTAAACAAATTAAAACTATTTGATAATATAAGTACTTAAAAATTTGTTACTAATCATAGTATCATATATACCAACATATATATGGCTGTATACTACTGAGTTTTGATAAACAATAAAATTCAATAGGGTTGTCGAGTTCCTTGTCTATAATACTTATCGATGTTCTTTCCTACCCATATCTGTTAACAAACAGTCGCCAACAACAGACGATTATCAAATGTTTATTAATTAACAGGTTTCCAGTTGAAACTAGATTAAAATTATGGCATAAAAGCAATATTGTGAATTGGCGTCCGAAACAAAATGATCACATTTGTTCCAAACATTTAACAGACGACTGTTTTATTAGACATGAGAACTGCACCACTTTGAAAAAGTGCAGTATACCGACAATATTTTCTGGTAGTACCAGTACCAGTAAGTATAAAAAAATATTAGATAATTATTTCGAATGTTTTTTTTTTAATTTCTTCTTTCCTCTTTTTTCACCAAACTCAAGGGCCACAGCCAAGTGTCAAAAGGTCGCCTGATGATGTCGAGCCACGTTGTATTTGTTTTAGTAGGCTGCGGCTAGAGGAGATTCCTCTCCCTGTACCGCTGTAGTCGAGGTGGAGTCATAAGGGAAGAGGAGTGTTGGTATGGCGATTGGCAAAAGTCGCGAAAGATAGTCGAGTGCTATGCTTCACCAATGAAGCTGCACCACTTGATGCTTCAAAGTGATATTTTCCCTGGCTCCATTCACATATCGGGTTCGGGGAGTCCATAGTGCAGGTGGAGTTAGAGGACGCGAAGGGCAGTGTGGCTTGTTTCTGGTGTGCCTTATCTGAGAATGAAAACGGGGGTAGAAGTCAGCAACTAAAAAGGGGCTGCCATTGGGCGGCATTATTTACACTTATGGTAAATTATGTGGACCTCAAATCTTCGATTGCGCTTTACAACAGTTGTATTTTAGTTTAAGTTGGTTTACTTGTTTGAATGAATAAATTCTACCACCAACTACCAACTCTGGAGTAACAATAGCCAGTATTGGCTTCTCTACGTTTGTGTTACAAAACGCAAAATGAAGTTATCTTAGTGTAAAAGACCAAAGAGTAAAATTATTCGAGGGTTAGTTACTCCGATTTAACATAGTATTTGGTCGAATCCATCCTTAATACACGGTTTAATAACCGTGCAATAATATTATGATATTCTTTTATATAATGTTGTCCTTAGTTCTTGGACAATGTCATCCGAAGAGCTCGTATCTCTATAAATGTTTCCTCGGTATAAGATCTTTGTAAAATATTTAGAGACGATACCAGGAGACCCGACGGTATGGGTTTGGTTGCTTGAGAGAGAGATAAAGCTTTAGTATGGGATACTACGTGCCAGCACTTTGACAGCATCCCATCTCAGGGGTACCTCGTCTAAAGCAGAGGTGGCATTAGAGGCAACTGAACTATGTAACTATTTACCCAGAATATCTAGAAGATGAGTACATATTTGTGCAATTTGCTGTAAAGACTTGGTCCGTAGGGTGCACGTGCGGTGTAGTTCCTAAAAAACTTTATCTGCGACTGATCTTCGCTGCTGGTAATAAGAAGTTGTTTAGTTTATTGTTTCCTCGCTTGAAGGCTAAGTATAGCCATTCAGAGAGGATACGTAGCCAGCATTCTTGGGACGATACCACGGAAAGTGGGATTTTATGATAATTTCTGTTATTTTTTTTAATATTGTTAAAAATGTGGAACAGTTATATTGTATAATTGGGAATGATAATACAATCATCGAAATAGAATGATATATAACTTTCCATAACTTTTAAAATAACTAGTCAGTATAATACGCACGCCACCTAATGTCAGTTAATTGTACCATGCGTATAACCTTCGCACAAGTGCAACCAATAAGTTGATTAAGTTTTACCGCAATCTGATGAATGGTACAGCATCGTAGAAAGTACGAACAAACATAAACTTTTATATAGTAGAAAATATTTTACTGTCTAAAGACAGACCTGTAGTAGATTAGAATAGGCGTTATTATAGCAGCTGATTTGTTTTTTTACACAGATTACCCCCTAATAGATTCCGCATACAGGGCCACAAACGCGCGCAACACATACTTGCTGTAGCTAGCATATGAAGTGACGCTAAGAATCACGATATCATTGTTGACCAAGTTTGTGACCCGTAGGCACGTCCGAGTTTTGGAAAATTTAAAAATAATTTTGTATCCAAAATACATTACAAATGGCTTCCTATGCAGTGAAATGGTGTGACAAGTTAGCTAAGACATTCAGTTATCAAAAAGATGGCATAATATTTCATCGGTAATAAAATTCTATTCTTATCACGATAACCTATTTCAAATGCACCGGAGTTCAACTTACACTGGAAATATAATGTTGCAAAGTGATATCATTTGAGCACCCGTTGATGTCTTTTCGAAATATCTCTTTCACTCATTACGTAAATTAAAATAGTTGGCTTTGTCTAACAACAGCACGTGTATCGATAGTGTTGTGATTTATAAGTCGATATTTGTTTGGTCATCGTTTACTTTTTTTGTAGTCATTATTTTATACAAATAGTGGCGTATAATTGTGGTACCTATATGCTATAGGTTTCCTAAATGCCCCGAAAGGAAAAGATGTGGATCGACGCTACTTGTCGAGGGGACCAATGGTTTCCCATCAAAATTAGTGTGCTATGTTCAAGACACTTCACAGAAGACAATCTTCATATTATGAAAAACCGTAGAAGGCTGTTGGATTCCGCTATACCATCTCTATACTTGCCAGTTTTAGTATGGACTTTTAATTTGTTTTTATTTTAGTACCAATGTAGATTACACATTAAGTAATAGCATTAAGTGGTTGATCGAAACGTGAAATTCTAATATTTAGGCGAATGTTACACGTCGAAATTAAACTATTTTTAATAGAATTATAAACCATAAAACAAGTGAAACTTATAATCTAGTATATATGTTATTCTAGTGTTACATGAACTTCGGTAATATCCTATTATTATTATTATTAAGTACATCTAAATTTGAAACACGTACCGTATAGTTTTTTTTATTTAATAATATTACTTTTAGGTGCAACACTTGGAAAAAATACTGTCACCACCGAAAGGACCTACATCTCGCTGACAATGAAACAATGGTCAGTTTTGGTGTTCAGTCACTATTCACATGCCTACCTATTGAAGACTGCTTCTTAATTGAAATAATACTAGTCTACGGATGTTATCGCGTATATATACCCGACGTTTCTAGCGCTTTACAGCACCCATGGTCGCGGGGGGAACTGAGATGTTCAACGTTCAAATGTCATAGTTAACAGCGGTTACCATAGATAAATGTGTATATCGGAACAAAAGTTAAATTTTTATCTATGGTAACCGCTGTTAACTATGACATTTGGACGTTGAACATCTCAGTTCTCCCCGTGACCATGGGTGCTGTAAAGCGCTCGAAACGTCGGGTATTTATAGTTAAATATACGCGATAAAATCCGTAAAAAACAGTATTATTTCAATGTGTAGTGTTCGCGTAAATATAAGAAATCATTACGCTTCTCAATTGTAATTCGGAAGCTACAAGATAACAACATGCCTGCAGAACATGCAGTATTACTCAAACACTGCTTCACATCTGACTATCTATTGTAGAAGGAAGAGTCCTACAAGCAAGTTGACGGTGTGGCGATGGGCTCACCTGTATTTCCTATAGTCGCCGACATATATCATGGAGGATTTTGAGGAGAAACCTTTCTTAATGCTCCTATAAATCCAAAATTCTACAGGCGGTACGTAGACGACACTTTCATAATTTTATCATCTGACAAAGCAACTGCATTTTTAGACCACCTTAACTCCATAAACTTTAAAATACAAATCACGATGGAGTAAGAAGCAAATAATACTTTAGCTTTCCTAGATGTTCAGTCATCCGAAATCCTGATAACACTATTGGTCATACTATGTATAGGAAATAGGCTTATTTTAAGCTATTTTAAAGGTTCTTCATAGTTTGCTACTGTGGGTAAATATTTGTTTCAGAGAGCAAAAGGGATCTGTGACAGAATACATCTGGCCACCGAGGTTCAGCATGTCAAGCATGTATTGCAAGATAACAAGCTTTGGGTCACAAGCCTACGTCACAGCAACCGAGTGAAGCCGGCCACAGTCGGTGGATAGGTGCTGCCATCTGCTTGGGATCCTATAATTAACAAAATCTATCCAAACCCAGGCACACCACTGCAAGACTTCAAGATACTGTAGGCTCGTTTTGTGTAGATCGGGACCAAATATCAATATTCAAAAACTAAAGATAGCCGGGCTAAGTATGATATTGAGATGTCAAACATCTCAGTTGCCCCCCCACCCCGTGACCATAAGTAATTCAACGCAATAAAATCCATATAATTATATAGTTTTATTCATGTGTAGTGTTCGCGTAAATTTAAGAAATCATAACATTACATATATTAATATATATTCTTTTATTTATGCACATTTATATATATA